GCTCACTGCTACCTCCACGTCCCAGGTTCAAGCGATCCTCCTGCCTCAGCCTCCAGAGTAGCTGGGATTACAGGCATGTGCCACCACACCCGACTAATTTTGTATTTTTAGCAGAGACAGGGTTTCACAATGCAGGCTCAGGCTGGTCTCAAACTCCTGACCTCAGGTGATCTACTCGCCTCAGCCTCCCTAAGTGCTGGGATTACAGGCGTAGCTACCACGCCCAGCCTCCCACCCATTCTTTACTTTACTCCATCTTCATAGTGTCCCCTTGGCCCACATTTCCAATCTTAGTGTCACCTTAGAGGCCAACTTATCTCTTCGGCCTAGCTATTAGACTGTTTCCTGTTGGACAATTTCTAATTCATTATAGCATTCTCAAAACCAGTATATGTGTGCATTCATAAGCACAGTGTTACTTTTAGTCCTCAGCGTGAAGGTGAGCCAGCGAAACAGTGAGGCAGTTCAGACTGTGGTTCTAGAACCAGACCACCTGGGTTCAAATCCTGGCTTCTCAGTTATCTCTCTCCCATACAGCAAGTTATACAACTTCTCCATACCTGCCTCAGGTTCCAAATCTGTAAAATGGAGGTGATAACAATAGTGTCTCCTTCCTAGGGTTGTGAAGAGGATTAAAGAGTTTCTGTATGTTGAGTGCCTACAGCAATGCTTATCTCTTAGTAAGTGAATGGCAGTTCTCATTCTTGGGGGAGAAGTGATTCATCTCGCACACACAGTCACATGAGCCTACTGGACAAAAATGTCTCCCTCTGCTTCATCTTCGCGTGATGGACTCAAATCCTGGTGCCACAGCCTGGCCTCAGAAGCTCCTATAAGGTCCCAGTCCCTGGGCCCCAGGGCAGCTCTACCAGGATTCTAAGGCACAGGCCCCATTCTTTTATGGCCCTCCCTCCATGCCATGCTTTCAAGACAGCGGTGCACTGACTCTTCGATTCCACCGCAGGTATAAAACAATGTTCACTCGCCTGAAAGCCCTGAAGGTGGAGATCGAGCACTTGCAGCTGCTCATGGACAAAGCCAAGGTGAAGCTACAGAAAGAGTTTGAAGTCTGGTGGGCAGAGGAGGCCACCAACCTGCAGGTATGGTCTGGGGATCATCAGGGAAGCTGGGGAGGGGCCAGTCATGCAGCCCCATTGAGGCTGTCAAGAGACAGAGTGGGGGCTTTGACCCACAGGCCCTCATGCTCTCAGCCCCTGCTCATGAAGCAGGTGCTCACTGTAGTAACAAGGATGACAAAAGGTCAGGGGTTCATTGTTTCCTTGCTCCCATGCCTAAAATTCTGCCTGATTAATGGAAAAATTAGGGATGGAAGATGCAGTTCCCAAAAACCTGTGGGTTTTCCACCAATGCTTTGTGTGGTATTCTTCTATTGACAGTATTTATTGTTTTTCTTATCACAGAGTTATATATATGTGAACATTAATTTTAGAAATTTTACTATGCAGAAAAACACAACAGAGAAAGTAAAAATTACCGTAATTACTCTACTTAAATGTAACTGATATTAACATGTTTGATTATATTATTTTACTTTGACTTCTACGCATACATATCCATATGTTTTTATACAAATAGAATCAGGCTGGGCACAGTGGCTCATGCCTGTAATCCCAGCACTTTGGAAGGCTGCAGCAGAAGGATCACTTGAGCCCAGGAGTTCGAGACCAGCCTGGGTAACGGCGAGCCCTGTCTCTGCCAAAATAAAAATAATTAGCCAAGCTTGGTAGTATTTGCCTATAGTCTCAGCTACCTGGGAGGCTGAGATGTGAGGGGCGCTTGAGCCTGGGAGGTCAAGGCTGCAGTGAGCAATGGTAGACCCACTGCACTCCAGCCTGGGTGACTGAACAAGGCCTGTCTCCAAAATAATAATAATAATAAATCATATAGCTGTTCAAGCATTGCAAATGGCTTTTAAAAAATTAGTTGTATAGCATGGCTATTTTTTCATGTTATTGTCCTACAGCATTATTTTAATGGCTGTTACAGTTCCATCACATAAATATGTTGTAATCTCCTATCGTTGAATATTTAGGTTGTTTCTAGTTTTTTGCCCAAAACATACTTGCAGATAATTTTTTGCATATTTCCTAGACAAATTCTTAGAAGTCTTCTGTATGACAAAGGCTAAAATCACCTGTCTGTAAGTGTTAGCACAGAATCCCCATTTCAGTTGTCCTCATGTAACACCTCAGCTGTGGCACGGTGGAAGTGCTGAAACACACACAATCAGACCACGTGTCCGACTGGCAGAACCCTTAGTGATTATCTAACAGGCTGATCCCTTCATTTTAAGGACAAGAAAACCGAGAGTCAGAAGATGATTTTCCAAGGACACAGCCAAACAATAACCAGTGTGATACCAAGTGGCCATATGACAGGACAATAGAGAAGAATATCTGAATAAAATTAAATGCATGAGATAATAAAGAAAACTGATTAGAATACAATACTGTTATCAAAACATTTTGAGCTATGGTATAGTAATGCGTGTACTACTTTTAAAATGCATGAATTAATAAGATCTAGGTATGGGCCCAATATTTATCATAACTTCAAAATAATGATGAAATGACACAATACTTCAAGATCTCTGCACAACTGTCAGATGATATGAAAATATGCATGATTTCTGTTGGTCACAAAGTCACTGGTATTGCTAGTACTTCTGTGGTTTGTTGTCTACATTTATCACTGAAGGAAATAATTAATTTCAGGTAGCAGCTAGGGAAAATAAAGATGTGATTGGTCCCCATCCACATTGGCAGAGTCCCTGGATTCTGTTTGTGGACCCCAGGTTAAGAGCCCTTCCCTGCAAGTTCATCAGTGACTGAGGCCTTCCCCAGCTGGTGCCTGAGGGAGTTTACCACTGACCGGTCGACAAGGGTCATCCAGTGCAACTCAGGAAGCGTCCAGGCAAAGCTGACACATTCAGACAGTGTAAGACTCACAGAGACAGCGGAAGCCACAGTAGGCAAGGACGTCAGCTCCATGTGTCTCCTGCCCCACAGGATGTCACTGAAACACAAGGGACCAGATGACAGCAAGGGGGATGGTGGGATACTCTGGTGCAGAAGGGCCAACTCCATGCTGCACTGAGCAGTTCTACAGCCTCAGCTGTACCCTGAGCGGGCAGAGGCAGAAAGCTCCAGACCTCATCAGAACAAGAGAAGTGACGAGAAACCTCTAGGATAGCCTTCTGAGAAGGCAAGGAAGCAAGTGGAAAATAACCTAGTAGCAACCATGCAAACTTCCTGCATGCACTCACATTCCAGGAGGCTTACAGGGTGTTCTGCCAAGACTCAGACCAGCTGTGATTTATGCCTTGCTCTTCAGGCCTGTGTGGGGACATGCATGGCAGAGCACCATAGCTGAGCTGTTTCCCCACACGAAGCGCTCAGTGGGTGTCTCCTGACTTTAGTAGGGGGTCTTTGGGGCAAGGAGAAGCAAAACCAGAAAACATTTTTGAAGAATGAAGATTACTTTTTAAACATTTTTTTTCTATCTTTAAAAGGAATATATGTTCAACTTGGAAAACTTGAACAGAAAAGCATAAAGAATAAATTAAACATTTCTCATAATTCTACCATCCCCAGACAATATGTTGAGGCCCATCATTATGGTCATTACTGTGTCTAGGTTTGGTTTTGGCCATACACATTGTGTACACTAACTTTTATAGCTGGCTTATTCCCCTTGAGAATTACATCAAGGCTGGGCACAGTGGCCCACACCTGTAATCCTAACACTTTGGGAGGCTGAGGCGGGCAGATCACCTGAGGTCAGGAATTTGAGACCAGCCAGGCCAACATGACGAAACCCCATCTCTACTAAAAATACAAATATTAGCCGGGCGCAGTGGCAATGCTTGAACTCAGGAAGCAGAGGTCGCAGTGAACTGAGATCATGCCACTGCACTCCAGCCTGGATGACAGAGCATACATGCCACAAAGTAGGTGTGTCATGGAAGAAAGTGCTTAGGGAAGATTCTTACAGGAGCTCTAATGATTGCTTTTCATCACTTCTTGGGGCCCTGGTGTGCTCTGCTCTCTACCTGTGGAAGATGGTTACAGTAGTGACAGAGCTGGTCCAATGCTTTCACCTCCATCAGTGAGATTTTCTTCTGGACGTGTGTGCATGAACGGCTCACATTTTCCTACTCTTACATGGTGTCAGAGCAAGAAACTTAAATGTACTACTGCCTTCTAGAAATGGCTGCGGCGCTAGGGAGGTTATCTTTCCTGACTCTTCCTATTCTGTTTGCAAGGAGAAAACATGCCTGAACATCTGGATATTGAAACTGCACTGAAGAGAAGCCAAGTAGAAAGTCTGAGGTCACTTGGCTGTAAATGGAGCTCTATCTGTGAGCACTAGAGCCACTGCCATCACCAATTCCACTGTACCGCATATAGCATGGGGAAGAACTGTTGAAAGAAAGAATAGCTATTGAACAAGACCATATCTGATTTGTCCTGATGGGTGCTGATCCAATGGAGTATTGGCTTCTGAGAACTCCATTTTATAGGGATACTTGTTCAGTATTAAAAATGGCCGTCATTAATTGCTTCTGTGAATCATAAACTCTACTAGGGGCTTTGAGAATTCTCCTCCCCCCCCACCACATAATAACCCTCTGAGATAGATTATGGTGCTGATGATATGTATGGTGATGCCCATTTTAGAGGTGATTCTTGTAGTGTGATGGGAGTCTGGACAAACTCATTCTGGGCCTGGATAAAGTACATAACTTGCACCAAAAATAAAAAAGAATTACATCAAAAACATCTACCTATGTCATTAGATTCAAGCTAACACTGTGAAACTCCTTCTGGGGCCAACAGGTAACTTCTCCAGCAGTGAATTCATTCAATCACAAGAAGCCGTTTCTCCAGACATCTGACACCCAGCGTGAACTGTCCCAACTCCTCTCTAACAAAAGGTAAGGTGAGAAGTCACCAGAGGTGTTAGAGTTTCCAGAAAAGGCTCCCTACCTTTCTCTTTAACCTATTCCTGTGGCTCTCCTGTCTCCTGGTAAGCCATATGATCCAGGAGGATGAATTCTTTTCACCGTTTAATTAGTCGTAGATACGCAGGACAGTGGCTTTTAAGCTGGTTGGAGTGCACACCCCTTCAGTCCCTCGATCTGACAGCCAGCAGACCTACTGCCATGGCAACAAGAGACAAGAGGTTTAGCAATCAAGCCCTGGTCCTGCTTCCTGAGTGGGAAGAAGGGGTTGGCAGGAATGGGATGAGGACATAGCATGGGAGAAGCGGGGGTCAGGGATAGTAGGTGGTAGCCAGCCTGCTGAGACACAGGGGAGCTCTTCATCCTAGCCAGGATTCAGACAGCCTCCAATAATGCCACATGTGGATGGCCCAGAGCCAGTCTCCCTAAATGATGGGATGACCATCAGGGACTCTACTTCCCCACAACCATGTCATTGTCTCTTTCCAACCACACAACCGAGGGGGTAGCGCCAATGATGCATGCCTCCTGCCATCATCCCTCCCATGCCAGAGGCCAGGGTGGGCAGTATGTGTACGGCCTCCATCTCTGTGACCAAGGAGCAATCCTTTGGGTTTGAAGGGGTATTGAGCCCTCACTTTGGAAATATAAAATAGGGCTTTAAAAAAGGTGTCAGAGGGCCAGGCATGATGGCTCATGCCTGTAATCCCAGCACTTTGGGAGGCCGAGGTGGACGGATCACCTGAGGTCAGGAGTTTGAGACCAGCCTGGCCAACATGGGGAAACCCTGTCTCTACTAAAAATACAAGAATTAGCCAGGTGTGTTGGCACATGCCTGTAATCTCAGCTACGTGGGAGGCTGAGGCAGGAGAATAGCTTGAACCCAGGAGGTGGAGGTTGTAGTGAGCCAAGATCGCACCATTCACTCCAGCCTGGGCAACCAAGAGACACTCTATCTTAGGACAAAAAAAAAAAACTATAACACCAGTCAAAGAATGAGGAAAATATCAGATACATCCCAATGGAAGGACACTCTACAAAATACCTGACTAGCATGCCTCCAATTGTCAAGGTCCCCAGAAACAAAGGAGACACACCACCTAGATTTAAAGTAGGGTCATGGGTGGGACCCTGGAACAGGAAAAGGCTTTAGTGAAAAACTAAGAAAAGTCCAGTAAAGCATGGCCTTTAGTTAATAACAGGTGTTAACATCGGTTCAGTGATTGTGTCAAATGCACCACACTAAGGTAAGATTCCCCAACAGGGGAAGCTGGGTGCAGGGTACATGGGCTCTCCTTGCACTATCTTTGCAACTTTTCTGTAAATTTAAAACTATTCTTAAAAAAAAAAAAAAGTATTCTTAAAAAACAACTATTGGCTGCACTCTTGTAATCCCAGCGTTCAGGAGGCTGAGGCGGGCAGATCACCTGAGGTCAGGAGTTCAAGACCAGCCTGGCCAACATGGTGAAACCCCATCTCTACTAAAAATACAAAAATTTGCTAGGTGTAGTGGTGGGTGCCTGTAATCCCAGCTACTCAGGAGGCTGAGGCAGGAGATCACTTGAACCTAGGAGGTGGAGGTTGCAGTGAGCCGAGATCACACCACCGCACTCCAGCCTAGGCGACAGAGCAAGACTCCATCTCAAAAAAAAAAAAAAAAAAAGCTATCAGGCCATAAAAAGTCATGAACCTGCAATGCATATTGCTTAGTGAAAGATGCTAATATCAAGACTATGTATTATATGATTCTAACTATATTCTGGAAAAGGCAAAATTATGGACACAATGAAACAGTCTGATTGTCACAGACTTGTAGGGAGGGAAGGATGAATAGAGGGAGCACAGGGAATTTTCAGAAAACTGTTCTGTATGATACTGTAATGTTGCATAGATGATAGGCATTTATCAAAATCCATAGAGCTGTACAGCACAAAGAGTGAATCCCTGTATGAACCATGGGTTTTAGTTCATAATAATGTATCAATATTCATTCATCATTCATAACAAATTAATCACACTAATACAAAATGTTAATAACAAGGAAAACTGTAATGGGGGAAGGAGAGTATAAGGGAATTCTCTGTACTATCTGCTCAATTTTCGGTAAACTTAAAACTTCTCTAAATAATAGTCTATTGATTTTTTAAAATGCAAAGGCAGAATAGCTAGGCAGCCACACTGTGCCAAGGCAATGCAGGCAGCTTAGCATTTGTGCCCTGCCCCTGGTCCGCTCCATGCATTCACTTTGAACCCCCCCAACCTCCAGAGGCCGGTGAATTTGAATTGCAGCCTCCTCTACACCTGCCTCCTTCCACACACAGCACCCTCTCGCTGAAACTCCAGGACTCTACACAGCACATCTGAAAAACACAAGCAAGAGGACGCAGCTTCCTCAGCCATTGCTCTGGCTCTGTGCTCAGTCCCTCGTGTATCTGTCCCATGGGATAAGCTGTCCTTTTAGCTGCGAGGCTCAGCCTCCTGGCTGTTTCTCCACTCTCTTTTCTGATCTCTTGGGTAGCTTCTACTGGTAGCAATATCCTGCTCAGCGAATAGAAAGCCCTGTCTCCCATTTTTCCTTTGGCTTGAAAGACATTAAAGTGTGTGTGTGTGTGTGTGTGTGTGTATGTGTGTGTGTGTGTGTGTGTGTGTGTGTGTGTGTGTGTAAGATGGCCAGGAGTGTCAGCAAAGGGCCCAATAGATGAAAGGTAGAAATATACTATGCTTGGCCAGGCACAGTGGTTTATGACTGTTATCCCAGCACTTTGGGAAGCTAAAGCAGGTGGAAGACTTGAGCCAGGAGTTCAAGACCAGTCTAGGCAACAAGGTGAAATCCTGTCTCTACAAAAAACATGAAAAACATCCTTCCCTCCCCACAAATCTGTAGCCGGGCATGGTGGCACATGCCTGTAGTCCCAGCTACTCAGGAAGCTGAAATGGGAGGTTCTTTTGAGCCCAGAAGGTCAAGGCTGCATTAAGCCAAGATATGTACCACTGAACTCCGGTCTGGGTGACAGAGTAAGACCCTGTCTCATAATAAAAAAAAAACAAAATAAGTCACTTAAATATAACAGATAA